TACGCAGTGGAGCAGCCATCTTGAAACTGGCACTGTGATGGCGTTCTGTTTGTCTGCATTATACTGCCACCTATAGGATACTATTTATAGCACTGGTAACATGTCTGCCAACTTACAGGACAAGGGCGCGATATTTCAAATTTTTATCTCAGTTTTACGGTTTTCATTTGACTCACCTACGTACATTCCATTGTCACCACAAAAACCAGATTCCCCATGATCTCATTCCTTTTATGCAACAGAAGGGCCAAGACTTCTAGTTTATGGTTTATTTCACATGATGAAAGAACCCTGCTATCGTAATCCACCAAGGTTTACTGAAAGGCCAAGAAAAGAAAACTTAGAACACAAACAAATAAAAAATTTAATGATACAAATAGTGCTGATAAAAATAAAGAAAAAATATCACTGTAGAGCATTTATTTAAATACTGAAAGAACAATAAATTTATTCATCGATAGAAGACAGAGAAGTTGTGGTTGTTTTCAGACATAAAANTTTTTTTCAGTTGACCTAATCTTTCCAGCTTCACTATGGCCCTGGGGTTGACCCAGCCTCTAACAAAAATGAGTACCACAAATATTCTTGGGGGTGAAGGGTGGTGGGCATGTAGGGCTGACAACCTTGCCACCATCTGTGAGCTGATTATCTAGAAAATGTGGGAACCTCAACATCTCAGAACCCTACGGGCCTCCACGGCCTGTTACAGGGATACCTTTACTTTTACTTTTTACTTTTACATATTTTGATCCAGTTTAGTAACTGGATTAGCAAGGGTTTACTGTAGCTGACGTTATGAATAGTGATTACAGTGAAAAAGTCATTCTCACACATGTCTGACAAATAATGTTTTGCTTTAAATATCCTTGTGAAGGACGAAGTGCAAAATACAGTTTGAGGATTAAATTTATCATATTTTTCAGTCTCTGTTTTCGATATCAAAGATGATAGTTCTGCAAGAGGCACTACTACCAGAATCATATTCATATGATGTAGTATGTCCGTGTGAAAATTAGTCTAGTGTATGACAGGGTTTCCAAGAACTAATCATGTCATAATTGTGGTCAGCTTGTATCTGATTCTTCAGTTCCAAACCTCTTGTGCTCAGTGAAGTGTTATCATCTTTATCCCAGCTTTTTTTACCTTCATCGCAGATCAGTCCTCTTAGAAGTAACAAAACTGTCCTTTTCAGGCTCGATGGGATGAGGCGAGCAAGGTGGCCATAAAGGTGACAACAAAGCCCTGCCCCAAATGTCGCACCCCAACAGAGCGAGCTGGTGAGTCTTTTATAATTCATTTGTCTGTCTCCAGGACACTGTAAAACCTGGGTTGAACCCTGAAGGCCAGATGCTTAAAAATAAAAAGGGGAAAAAAATATATGATTAAATTTTACTAAATTACAGTCATTTCATTTATCTAAGTGATGTATCTGCAACTTTCTTTGTTGTGTACATTGTATCCAGTACAATTTTCCCCTTTTTAGATGTTGTCACGTGATAGTGACTACAAAGCAGGTTTGACTCAGAAATGAATTTTGTGTGACACTAGATAGTCTTATACAAAACTGTTTACAAATAGTCACAATCATTCTAAGTCTGTTTGACTTTTCATGCTTGATTCCTCACTTGGTCTGTCATCACAGGCTCCATTGCTAGGTTGCATGTTCCTTCATCCCAGACCCTGTAACAAGGAGCTTGCTCACACAGCGAGAACAATGGCATGCTTCTTTATATTGCATTGTATAGACCGCTGAGGCAGTGCTGAGATTACCAGCACTTTCACTGTTTTCCATTGCTTGGTATACTTGTTTCACCGTAACATTACCTGTAGCAGGATTCATATTGTTTGATGTTTGATGCATGGCAGCTTATATGATAGTAGCCAGTAAGAGATGTGCTGTGTTGCTGAGTTTGTTTTCTGCTACAAGTTTCAAATTGGAACATCTTGTGCTCTTGGACGAGCTTTTTGTGAACTCACATGAAACACATATGAGTCAGGATAGCGGAGTCAGTATAGCGACTAGTTACAGGCTGCACAATAGAGGGGTTGGGGTTCAAGTCCCAGTAGGATCAAGAATTTTCTCCTCTCCAGGTTGTCCAGACCAGTTCTGGCATCCACCCACCCACCTATCCAATGGGTACCAGGGTTTCTTCCTTGGGAGTAAAGCGGCTGGGGCCTGAAGGTGACCACTCATCTCCAAGTAGTGCCAAGGTCATAAAAACGTGATGTATATACCCTCATTGGTATAGTGATTAATTAATTGAGTGAGCACATGGACAACTTAATGTATGAAACATGTAATTAGGTAAAGGACCACATTTTTCTGAATGTGTAGGAGCAAATCCTACATTTCTAGCAAAGGTGGTTAACATTTTAGGGCTTTTTAAATTTTTCTTGTAATTGCTGCTTATATTTACCCAAGACAATCATGATTTTGATGCCACTTGGCCAAATGAGCCCAGACCAGGAAAGGATATAACTTATTAATTTGTCTTCCATCCTTGATACAAAAGGCAAATTTAAGCTTTTTATTTTCTTTCAGCTGGGGAGAAGTACTGTGAGTTTTTGTGTAAAATTTAGTGTTTTAGTAGGCTTAACTTGTAACAATATGTACGTTGATTATTTTGTGTTAGTTTCTGAATCATCAGAGCATTTGTATATATATTGCTTAGCAAGAAGAATTATAAGTGGTAGTGATTAGGGTTGCACCTTTTCCAAAATAGTTTTTAATGTGTATGGTTTCTTTAAAAAATATGTCTCTGATGAAAAACAAAGCAGACTGGATATCTCAAAATGCCAAGACATGACAGCCGAAGCGTATCATGTAAGCATGTTGACTGTTTCATGGGTATGCAGTGAAGTAAGGAAGGGAAAAGAAGTGGGTACCAAGAAAGTGTTTCTGTTACCCAGAAAATACATAAATAATCTAGACAGAGTGATTTGTTTCCTTGGCACTACAGCCCCGGTGGGCCTAGGCCCACCTCCATGAACTTCTTCATTCACTTTGGTTTTTCTAGATCTTACACATATGGTAGGACTCCTTGGGCGAGTGATCACCTCATCGCAAGGCCTCTACCTGTAAACAAACACAGAAAAACGCACACAAACATCCATACCCTGAGTGGGATTCGAAGCCATGATCCCGGCTTCCAAGCGACCGAAGACAGTGCATGCCTCAGACCGCTCGGCTACTGTGATCGGCAAATAGAGTGATAAACCTAGACAATTTCCAGAAAGATGTTTTACACAGAACTGTCTTTGAATATTATGACAGTGGTGAATTCCCTGCCACCAGAATGTTATACTTTATTCACATATTCTTATTAAATAATTCATTTTTATTCCTACATGGGTCATTCGAATATTGGTCTCCTAACACTGCTGCTGCTACACAGGTGTGCAGAACAACAAATTGGCAATGAAGCGGCAACTCTATTCACTCTTGCTAAATGTCAGGAGATGTATTCTATACAGTGATAGCATAACCACAGAACAACACGTGTTTGATGTGTGCAGGTGGCTGCATGCACATGGTGTGCACACGGCCTCAATGCAACTTTCACTGGTGCTGGATCTGCCAGACAGAGTGGTCCCGCGACTGTATGGGCAGCCATTGGTTCGGATAGACACAAACGATGTCCAAAAGAAAAGCTTACAGGGTAAGGTTTATATGCCCTGATGTGGCTAAACTGAAGAAGGTAAATTCAGGAACCTTCTGTTTAGTTCATTGGTGAATTCAACAAACACAAATGCACACATCCACACACACACACACACACAGAGAAGAGAGTAAGCTTCATGAGAAAACCTAGCTCTCTGTAAATGTGTTTGATTTTTGTAAATGAAGTACATGCACAATATTGTGAATGTATGTGTGTTCCAGCCCTGTAATTGAGGTGATTTTAATCTTAATGCTCTTCAGTACAACTTCTTGTGCTCTCCTGAAAGAAGGTGAATACTGGAGTGTTGTCATCAGAGACCTGTACATATGTGATTCTTAGGTAATATAATGGCTGTTTCTAATTGTTGAAAACAATAAAGCTTTTCAAATTCAAGTATTGTTTGTTGGTTTTTAGACCGCTGTTCCTTCTGCTTATTCCTTTATTACTTGAAATAAGGATTTTGAAACAATACTGTCACATTATTGAGACTGTAATGCCATGTAATCTGGTATATCCAGGAAGATTGCAGTCTTTAATATTCACCACGATAAGAACCTCAAGTCTCAAAATTGGTATTTATACAAGAGGATGAGGAAGAGGAAGTTTAACCAGCATCTCTGAATAGCTAGCAGTGAGGAAGAATTGGTAGGGAACTAAAGAGAAATTCTGGAATAACATAACATGTAAGTAGAAGAGGCTGGTGGCTTGTCTGGTATGAATAAGAAGTGCATGTGAAGTTATTGTTAGGTAAAGGTAAAGTTGTCCCTGTCCTTGACCAGTTAAGTGTTACACCATGAAGACATATTCGGGAATGGATGTATAGACACATATTATTGACCTTGGTACTAGTTGGAGGTGAGTGGCCCACTTCATGTCCCAGCCGCTTGACCCCCAGTACACCTTCAGTGGGAGACTAGGGTGCAGCTTTTGTAGGGAAACATTGGGGACTTATCACTTGGAAGTGAAGACAATTGGAATAACATAATATTAAAATGGATCTAATGAAAATAAGTTTTATTGTGGATAGAGTAGGATAGTGCAGTCAGTATAGTGACTGGCTAGAGGATGAATGACAGGGGTCAGAGTTTGGGTCCTGGTAGGGTCAAGAATTTTCACTTCTCAATCTTGTGCAGACCACTTTGGGGGCCCGCCCAGCCTCCTATTAAATAGGTACTGGGGGCTCTTTCCCCAGGGGTAAAGAGGCCTAGGCTTGAAGCTGACCAGTCACCTCCAGCTAGTGCTGAGATCAAGAAAATTTCAGTGTATACATCCACTCCCCCATAAGTTTTCATGGTATAGTGCTTAATTAGTTAAGCACAGAGACTTTACCATTACTGTGGACAGTAATCCCTGTGCATTAGCCAGCGATATTGTACGGAACTTCAGATGTGTGCATAGGCTTACTCGTTGAAAGTTGCTTTTCATAAAGAATGGATGTGATTTGAGGGCGGTTAGATACACAACAAACAAACAACCCATATTTTTCATTGAGACATTTCTTCTAAGGAAGAAACCCTACATCATATGTACAAAAGTTTTGAGAATGTTATTCAAAGCCTACATGACAAAAAAAAAAGTTGTGTTCTCAACCTCTTTAACAGGTATTGAGAAACACATTCTGTTCTTACGTTTCATCTCTACAAAGTTGTGTTCTCAACCTGTTTATCAGGTGTTGAGAAACAGACTCTGTTTTAGGTTTCATCCCTACAAAGTGTCAGTGGTCCAGAAATTGATTCCTGTAGATTAGTTGCATGCCTAAACTTTTGTTGCTGGATGTTACAATCTCTCCACAATGGACTTGTTGATGAAACACTTATTTTCACGAGTGACAAAGCTTTGTTTCTTATGTGGCTCTGAGAATGCCCAGAACACCCATAATTGTACACCAAAAGTACCAACAAATGAAGTCCCACTTCATGACCAAAAAGCAAGTGTGTGGTGTGCTGTTAGTGCTCAGAGAATGATTGGGTATATATTCTTTTTATGGCACAGTGAACTCAAAATGTTATGTAAACAGTATTTTGGAACCATTCTTCCAAATGCTCACTGAAGAAGAGAAGTATATATGTGTTTGCAGCAGGATAATGCAAGTGCCCACACATCACAACATTCTGTGGATGGCCTTCATGAAATTTCTGGTGAAAGGATAATTAACTGATGACTATGGCAGTCTCATTCATCAGATTTGAGTGTGAGCAATTTTTACATATGTGAGAAACTTAAAGGCTAAAGAGTATGGGAACAGTGTGCCTACTCTACAGGGTTTCCAGAACGAGATTAGGAGTGTATTATGCAATATGACAGTAGATGAGCAGCAGCGGGTGTCCCAGACTTTCTTGGTGCTCAGTGTATCTTTGGACTGTAAGATACACTCAGGTTTCAGGCAGAATTTTGCTGAATAAAGAGTGCATTTTATACTCCTGAAAATATGGTAAATATGTTTGATGGTTTTAGCCATGCCTGGAAGGAGACACACCTCTAGAGGCAAGATTTGAGTGTCCAATCTGCTTGCAATGTCTCTCAGAACCTGTCCTGACACCTTGTGGATGCCGTTTCTGTAACAGCTGTATCTGCGCATGGTTAAAGTAAGATACACTTCCCAGTAACACCATCAGGTCACTCAATACCATGTTTTCTAGTTGTAATCAGGTGTGGTTATCTCTTATAGACGTGAGGGTGGTGTGTGCCCTGTTGACAACCAGCCACTCAACTCTGACAAGGACCTCTTTCCTGACAACTTCACCCGCAGAGAGATTCAGGAGCTCGATGTAAAGAACCATCAGGTTAGTTGGGTTTAGCACATAAGAGAAATGTTTTCTTACAATAAGTTCTACTGAGTATTTGAAAAATATATAGCAGAACTGTTCACTTTTTAGTATGTACATGTATGTGGAGTAGCCATAAAATAACCAGGCTGATTTTCTTTTGCTGACTCTCTGTGGCCTGTGCAACAGCAAGTGGGGTGGCATATTACCCTGTCCTCTCCTCTCCATGAACCCTATGACTTCCAAGGCCATATGGCCAACAGTGTGGTAGGAGGCTTTGTTTGAAGCAGACCGTGTATCTGAGCTCTGTCAGAATTATGTGAAGTGTTAAAGTAGAGCAACGTGTCAATGTGAAATTCCTCACAAAACTTGGAAAATCTACTACAGAAACATGCAGTTTGTTGATGGAACTTTATGGTGATGAATGTCTTATCTCGTACTCAAGTTTTCAAGTGGTTCAAAAGATGTAAAGAGGGAATGGGAAAGATTGAAAATAATTCACGTCCCAGTTGGACTTACTCATATTTTGAGTTTCTAAAAATGGTTGCATCACTTGATGAACCATAGGAACCAATATCTACAAATAAGAATTCGTAATCTGCGTCTGCCAAGCCATTGACACCACTGAAAAAAATGTTCTTATAATTAAAAATGTGGAGCCATTGTCACATGGTCGTTTGATCCTAATATGTTTCCCATCAATTGCTCCAATAACGTTAGTGAAATAATTAGTACATTTAATGAACTGATGTGCCACTTCAATCCATTCCTCTTCTGTCTTGGATGCTATATAGATTGGCTGCAGAACTTCCCACAGCTCATCACTAGTTGATTTCACAATGTTTCTGACTGGATGGCCCAAGTAAGAACTCAAATGAAAGCGCACGGAAACTAACTCCAGTTGCAAAATACATGAAAGAAACATTGATTAGAAATAAACTTTCCCTAATATTGTTTTTCTATTATCAAGGGTTTTCCATGTTTTTATGTTTTATACCAGTATTTAATATTTCCGTTTTATTGTTCCAGAAACGTTGGGGTAACTTGCATACATGTTTTAATAGAGAGCCAAAATCGCAAAAACAAACAAAATCTGGTCAAGGAGCAACCACACGTCTCAAGTATATGTACTTTGACAGATTACTTTTTCTCCTTCCTGATGTTGAGCAAAGGAGAACGGAGTCAAATGTTGGCCCTCAAGAAAATGAAACAGAAACTATTTCAGACTGTGAGACTGCTCATGAGGGAACACCATGCTGTCCCACATTATCAACGTACTGGCAAGGAAAAATATATTGAAAATAATGAAACATGAGGAACAGCATCTACAAATATTGAAAGAGAAGACAACTGCAACATCCGTAGATGAAGATACATGCTTTGCACTGCCTTTAGTGCCAACATTAAAGTCTTTACCCAGTGGAAATAAATTGCAGGTCAGGATTGAAATGTTAAGTACCTTACAAAAGTTTAAATTTCAGTCAGCTACCAGCATATTCCATCAAAATCTATGGGGGAATCCCATTGCCTTATTTCATTCAGCACCATCTCCATCCATATATGTGTACCAATCCCGTAGTGAGCAATATCACCTTATTCCTACTCACTTCATTCAAACCCACTGCCCACCACTTTTCATCAAATTGGCTTTCCTCCTTTTCATCCCTCTGTTCAACAGTCTTTTCACTCAAACAGTGCATTTTCTCCAAATATCCCACCAGTTAACCGAATAGCCAGTGATTCATCATCCACAAGAATGCAAAATGAGTCCACAGTTTCACCTGTCAGTGTTGCTTCAGAACCGTCAATGAGCTCTTTCGTTTCCGAATCTACAGTTTCAGATATTTTAGATTTTGACTAATGAAGTGTTCTGTTTCTGTGTTTAAATGCTTGTAGAATGAAAACAGAATCAAATTTAAACAAAAAGTTCTATGAGAGTATTATCTGAATATGTACCTTTACTTTTTTGCCACTTATTGACTTATTTTCTTCGCTTTTAAGTTCATTAATAAATGATATTAAAAGGAGAAATAAAATATAAAGACGTTTCTTCTATAATCACATTATTATTTACAATTATGCTATAATTAATGTAGGCCTATGTAAATTAAAACTAATAAAAATACATTAAAACAACAGTGATTATTATAATAATAAAAGTATTCTTATTCTTTCACCTTAGTGTTACAATCAGTCTTTCTTCTGGTGGTACAGCCAATCTCCGCCTTGTATTCTTGTACAAGATATAAGGTTTTAGACCTCAGGTCCAGCCAGATCATCTGATACTAATTTATTACTAAGTGTACTACATGCAGCCTTCATATCTTGGTTTGGAAACTGAATTAAATTCATCTTGACTTCTGTGGCAACTTTTTCTGGCAGTTTGCACTGGTAGTTTGTGTAACTTTCCCCCACACCAAATCAACACTATATGCAACATCCTTTAGTGTTAATGTCTCTAGAAATTCCATAATTTGCAGTTCAGAGTTCATAGCTCGACCAAGTTGCTCACCATGACAGAAGGCAATGAAGGCTTGCATTCATCCATTGAATGAATTATTGCAGTGATATTCTTTGTCAGAAACATAGCTCACATCTTTTTATCTTTCGATTTAACGACATAAGTATAAAGATGGACAGGACAGTGATCCAACAGAGCCTTTTCTTCAAGTATTTTATAAATGTTGCATGCCATCCAAACCCTTGAAATGCTTTTGTGCATCATAGGCAGAGATTTTGTGTTTATGAGCTTGAAGCATTGGGGACTTGGGCTTTTACTGATGCAGAGCAGTTTCAGCTTGGAATTATCATTCTTGTTGCAACACAGCAACCAGGTCAGTCTTTCTTTGCTAGTTTCCATATTCAAGGTACAAAAGTTTGGAAGCATTTCATAGTACAGGGCCATTTTGTCACATTTGTTCCATCAGTCTTCATTTCAGGAAACTGTTCAGCTGCTGCACTGTCAGCAGACAGATTCACCTTGTATGTTAAAGTGAACTTCTTAAGCTTTCAGAGTTACACCATTTATAGACACTATTTCACTACGTCTTTGTAGGAACTCCTTGTATAGATATTCATCTATATAACTATTTTCATAAAGTCTAGTCTTCTTCCTTTCAGCCACATGTCACCTATGGAATATACAAACGCAAGTGAATATCGTTCCTTCTGGAGTTCTATACTCCAGCCTGTACCTATATTATTTGCAGATGATACTAGTTTGTTAGTTAAAGTTCAATCTATGATGATCTCTGTGTAAATATAAATAATGCTTTTCACAGTATAAATGAATGGTTCAAAGTAAACCAACTTTCTATAAATTTTAACAAAACCCACTACATTCAATTTACAGCTAGAAATAATAATCCTAAATTTGAAATAAAAATTGTATATGATAAAAAACAAATTACATCTATATCCAATATTAAATTTCTTTGAGTATTCATTGATGATAAAATGAGCTAGAAATACCACACTGAATATATTAGTTCAAAATTAAGTGCAGTCTGATACATAAAATCTCTTAAATCATACACGTCCATAAATACCTTGAAAATGGTTTGTCACTCTTATTTTAAAATATACAGTAAAATTCGATGTATATACCTTTTTTGTTGTTATCTGCTTGATGTATACATAGGCTGAAATGAAGATCATCTAGTTCATTTATTACGCGTAGACATAACAGTTCTGAATGTTTTCCTTTCCCCGATTCCAGTCTTGACCGGTCTTGACCTCCCCGCCTTAAACAATGCACAAAAGAGAACGTATCTTTCCATTTATGGTGTTTTACTTCATGTTCGGTCATTTTATAAACGCACTTGATCCTCTAAATGGTGTGTGTGAGGTGTCTTTCTCTCAGGAATGATTTAATACAAAAATCACGAAACGCAATAATGAAAGTTATCTCACGGAGTAAATGTGAAAAACTTATTTGACAATCTTTCCATTGAAGGTGTTTGACTTCATGTTCGGTCATTTTATAAAGGAATTTGGTAGTCTTAATGGTGTGTGTTAGGTGTCTTTCTTTCAAGAATGATTTTATACGAAAATCATGAAACACAATAATGAAAGTTATCTCACGGAGCAGATGTGAAAGACTTATTTGACAGGTATGTTTATTCCTTGGCCTTCAGCTTGACAGTAACTTTAATCGGAAAAACTTGATCCCTAACCTAATTTCAGACTGCTGTGAGGGAAGACGCATCTCATGTCAATTTACTTTCCCTCCATTCCATCATGTCATACGGAATCACTTTCTGAGGAACTTCAGCAGACAGCAGAAAAGAATTCTGCGTTCAAAAAGGTTCATGTGAATATTAGCAGATATTTTGCAATCTGCTCAAGCTAGCTAACGAATTGTTACAGTTATTATTATTCGTTGTGGACAACGTGGAAAACATTTCAGACAAATTCATATAGACAGTGTATGTACAGCGTATTGATGTAACCTCCATATGCCAACTGCTAACCTCAAAAAATATCAGGAGTTTGCTGTACTGGAATTTCTTTAGGAAGTAATCTTCCTCCTACACTGAGATGTTTGATTCACGATATGAAACTCTATAAGCCAACGGTATATAATGGCTTTTATATAGAGCATTGGCAGTTGTAGGGGGTAAAATATGTTAGAATCATTGTCTTTAGTGAAGAAACTTGAATGAGAATGGTTGCTGAGTTTAGTCAAGACTTATTAATTTCAGAATGTTTAGCTCTGNCGGTATATAATGGCTTTTATATAGAGCATTGGCAGTTGTAGGGGGTTAAGTATTTAGTGAAGAAACTTGAATCAGAATGGTTGCTGAGTTTAGTCAAGACTTAATAATTTCAGAATGTTTTGCTCTTGTCATTACCCTGCTGTGAATAAGATCAGTGATTATGTGCAGTCACCACAGTTCCTTACATGTTGTCATGTGTACCTGTTGCTGCATGATTCACTAGGGTGAGCTGTGTCAGGCTTGTGATTGATTGATTGATTGATTTATTTCGTCACTGTAGCTTGTGGTNGTCATGTGTACCTGTTGCTGCATGATTCACTAGGGTGAGCTGTGTCAGGCTTGTGGAAGCTGTTCTGTATACAGCTCCTTTCTTAGGAAATTTATGTGCATCAGAGTTTGAGATTCGTCCCTCTCCAGTCACCTGTTAACATGTCATCCACACAGTAGAGCCCTTTCAGCATTACAGTTGCACTTCTGTGCTGCTCTTGTGGTACTCTCTTGTATGAGGTGGTCTGTTGGAAGCCATATGACTGTTTGATTTTTTTGTTGAAGAACATGGCTCTGACTAGAACACATGCTAGTCTGATCATCACATATTTTGAGATGCGTAGTGCTCTCTCTTGAAATCTGGTCTTTGTGCCCTCAAGAGTTTTTCATAAGGTACCATTCAGAGACTGTATTGTACACTAGGCAGCTGTCTGCAGGCTGCAGATCGTCCCCACAAAATGGTGAGATTGAAAATGTAGCAGTTTGTGGTGTTTAGGTAGAGGGACAAATCCCCCTGTTTATCTCCTTGACATGTCAGATGTGTTAACACTTGAGCTAATTGTCTGACATTTCTGTGATGATATTTTAACAGGCTGTGACCACTTCCTGTTCAGGATATAAACATGTTCACCCTTCATTGGGCACACTGATATCCCAAGACTATCACAGTTGTAATTACTTCTCTGAATTTGTGATACATTTACAGGTTTTTAAGAAGGCTGTGGATGTGATGGCAGCACAGGAAGCTCGAGGAGGTTGTGCACAGGAAAGCAGCATTGTAAGTAAGCATGGTTACATGATAACAGAATTGCAGGGTCTGGAACAGCATGGTCAGAATCATCAAGATGCTCTACATTTAAATGCACATTTTAGTTTTCTTAGCCTAGGTGAGAGGATAGCATGAAAATAGATCTTAAAGAAATGTGAGAGTGAATGGTATTCATCTGTGTTGTGTTAGAATTAAGTATTGGAATCTTGTGAACATGAGAAAAAAAGAAACTTTTTGTTCTGTAAACGACAGGAAATTGTTGACTCGTTGAGTGACTGCCAGTTTCTCAAGATAATATAATTTATGCATAATTTTTTTCACATAGTGGGGGGTGGAGTCCAACTGGGTCAACTCAGCATGCCGGCCACTGATTGGCCTATTGTACCTGCCCTGGGTGATTATGATGATGGAGAATTTGGTGGAATGAAGATTGGCAAGGGAAACCAAAGTACTCGGAGAAAATCTGCCCCAGCGCCACTTTGTCCACCACAGATCCCACTTGTCCAGACCCTGGTTTGAACCCGGGCTGTCACGGTGGGGAGCCAGCGACTAACCGCTTGAGCTGTGGCACAGCCTGGCTGTATGCATAATTACTGGGGCATTATCCCTATGGCTCTGGCTTCTATATGGCAGTATTAATGAAGCACATGATGCTTTTATTTCCTTAAAAGATTTTTCATTCTGTGATTCCCGTACATCCAGGAGAGTAGCATTGTCTTTCAATTCAGCTGTTCCATAATGAAGTAATTGTTTTTCCAGTATGCTGTCAACCGCAGCTGTAATGTCTGTCTTCAGTTCTTCAGCTGTATGCATACTGTTCTTGTGAGCATTGTCCAGGAACCCCCATGAGAAATGACAGGGATTCATAGGAAGTACTAGCTTCTGAGATGTGATGCTGTTTAGTTCAGTAGAAGTCCACTGAACCATGTGGTCCCTGTGAAGAGCTGAAATTGAGGATAGGGATTCAAGTCAGAGGAGTGTTGTATGTGAGACCATAAGTAACTCTGTGGTGTAGAGTTCTTGTGAAACTAATAATTGCTTAGCCAGTCAATAGATTCCCCACCTTTTGTGGAACCACGTGGTTGAGCATGGTGTTCGTAAGAGCCTGCTACTGGGTTCTATTCTGAGCTGTATGAATCTCTTCTCCTGTTCTTAAATAATTTTGAAGAATCTGTCCCTGTATAATATTTTTTAACATACCAGTTGTTACAAAGGAGTTGTTAGCACCCCTCTGAACCCCCACCCAAGAGTCTGATTAAAGTTTCCTTCATTGAGTTTCAGGCCTTCAGTATTTACTGTCTTGTTGAGGAAGACTGGTCCAGCAGTTTATCAGGTTTATTTTGTTTATTCGTAATTTATGTTAATTATGCTTTCATTTGCTAAGATTATGTACTAATTTTAGGTACTATCCTGGAAGATTAATGCCTTCTGGGATGTGACACCATGTAGTCTGGTAGATTGATGCCCTTGTTTTGGAAGAACCTAGTGCCTCCATCTTCAAGATAGAAGAGCAGAGAAGTCCACCGTGATCTACCTTAGTACATGGCTTCACATCCCAAAAGACAGCTATCTTTATAATCAGCACCATGAAGAACTTGAGCATCACATACTTTTGTAGAATTTGCTTAGAGCGATGAGGAAGACCATGAAAAGCCTCAGCTAGGGTAGCCAGTCTTCAAGCTGAGATTTGAAACTGGGTCCTCCCATATGTAACAAGAAGTTTAATCACTTGACCATAACATTGGTGTTCCTGCAGGTGAAACACACTTATGTCATATGTCATTATTAATGCAAGGTGTCTCCATAACTGATATACGAGAGTCATACTGAAAGTCATGAGCAACAGTTTTTGTAAAGTAACATGCTTTATTATTGACAGACCAAATACACCACCTCAATCTACAGAACTTTCTTTATTTCTCCACATAATTGCCACTACTTTATACACATTTCTCCCAGCGTTCTGGGAGTTTGAAAATTCCCCTTCTGTAAAATTGCATTCCAGCCATCCGAAGACACTGACGCACTGCTTTCTGAATTGCCTTCCTTGTCTCAAAACGTCCTTGCAGCTGATCCTTCACAAATCCGAAAAATGGTAGTCGGAGGGTGCCAGATCAGGGCTATAGGAGGGGTGTGGAAGAACTTCCCACCCCATCTTTATAATTGCTTCCAATGTGAGGCGAGCGGCATGGGGGCGAGCGTTGTCATGCAGGATGATGAGGTTTCGTCCCGGACATTTATCGCGCAATGCATGATGGAGCTTGTGCAGCATCTGGACATAACGAGCAGAATTGATGGTTTGCCGAGGTTCCAGGAATTCGGCCAGAATAAACCCCTCTGCATCCCAGAAGACTGTGCCCATCACCTTTGCAGCTGAAGGCACTGTCTTTGCCTTCTTTTTCGATGGAGAATGCAAATGGTGCCATTCCATACTCTGCCATTTCATTTCAGGCTCGAAATGGTGAAACCAGCTTTTGTCACCTGTCACAATACAGAGCATAAAATCATCGCCTTCGTGTCGATCTCTCTGCAGCGGTTCTGAGGTGATGGCTTTTCGCTGACCTTTGTGGTCTTCGGTCAATTACTGTGGGACCCAACAAGCACAAACTTTCCTATAGCCCAAGCTTTCAATCATCTCCTGTACTGCACTGTGCCCTATTCCAAGTTTTCGGTCTATTGTGTCCGCAATCACATGCCTGTCTATCATGTTGAATGATCTCATCCACTCTTTCCTTGTTGCATTCAGTTGAGGCTGTTCGAGGTCGACTGCTCTGAGGCTCATCTTCTATGCTGGTGTTTCCAACTTTAAGATGTTTCACCCATCTTTGAACACTGCTCGCCCCCATGCACACACTTCCATAAGCACGCTGAAGTCTCTGGTGAATTTCTGCAGCAGGGATTTCCTCTTTCACAAGAAATTTGATGACAGCATGCTGGCGAAACGACATATCGTCGGCCATTTTGTTAGGAGTGATATTGGTCACATGATGCAAGCTATTGATGTCACAAGACACTCAAGGTTAACACAACAGCTGGTTCCACGTATCACCATACTCTCTTTAGTCTGCTGTTGCCAGGTTGCATGCAAAAAAAAAGTTGCTCATGACTTTCGGTACGACCTACGTATATTCTGTTGTACAGTCATTGCACATGCAGACATTTAACGCTAAGGTTTTCTTTTCCTTATGACTGTATTATTTGTTCAGTTAATATTGGTATTTCACAGATTATTAGACACAGTGGAGTGTTAGATGCACAACTGATGCTGTAATACATTATGTAGTCGTTAACTTCTTCTAGCTCTGACCATTTTTGTAGGAAGACCATGAAAGCTATGTTAGCTTTTGACACCTTTGTCAAATTCTTCCTTTTGCTGTCTTTATTTTTATTTCTTTATTTGAGATGGTGAAGGAACAAAATATTTTTCAGTTTCTGTGTTCAGTGATATTGACTGTAATTTATCGCATGTGATTTAAACTCTTAGTACATGGAAGACTCTTCTATCTTTAACTAGCTTAATAATTAAAAACAACACCAGCCATAATGATTACAGTACAGTGTTCTTGAAATCCCAGTGTACTCATTAGAGTTTCCCAATACATGGTCACAGATTTCTGTTCTTCGAAATGAACTGTGATTGTTTCCATTATCTTCTGCTGTGCAGTGAGGAACAAACCTAAGTAACCCACACTTTAATGGGACTTGAATGCGTCTTTTACCCACCAGAACCAATGCATTAGCCAGGAATCATTGTATGGAACTTTAGACGTGTGCACAGGTTTACTAATCGAAAGTTGCTTTTCATAAAGAATGGATATGATTTGAGAGTGGTTAGATACACAACAAACAAACAACCCATATTTCTTATTGAGACATTTCTTCTAAGGAAGAAACCCTACATCATATGTACACAAGTTTTGAGAATGTTATTCAAAGCCTACATGACTTAAAAAAAAGTTGTGTTCTCAATCTGTTTTAACAGGTGTTGAGAAACAGACCCTGTTCTTAGGTTTCATCTCTACAAAGTTGTGTTCTCAATCTGTTTAACAGGTGTTGAGAAACAGACCCTGTTCTTAGGTTTCATCTCTACAAAGTTGTGTTCTCAATCTGAATTGATTCCTGTAGATTAGTTGGATGCCTAAACTTTTGTTGCTGGATGTTACAATCTCTCCACAATGGACTTGTTGATGAAACACTTATTTTCACGAGTGACAAAGCTTTGTTTCATCTGTGGCTCTGAGAATGCCCAGAACACCCATCATTGGGACACCAAAAGTACAATAAATGAAGCCCCATTTCATGACCAAAGAGCAAGTGTGTGGTGTGCTGTTAGTGCTCAGAGAATGATTGGGTATATATTCTTTTTATTGTACAGTGAACTCAAAATGTTATGTAAACAGTATTTTGGAACCATTCTTCCAAATACTCACTGAAGAAGAGAAGTATATATGTGTTTGCAGCAGGATAATGCAAGTGCCCACACATCACAACATTCTGTGGAGGGCCTTCATGAAATTTCTGGTGAAAGGATAATTAGCTGATGACTATGGCAGTCTCATTCATCAGATTTGAGTGTGAGCAATTTTTACATTTGCCAGAAACTTAAAGGCTAAAGAGTATGGGAACAGTGTGCCTACTCTACAGGATTTCCAGAACGAGATTAGGAGTGTATTATGCAATATGACAGTAGATGAGCAGCAGCAGGTGTCCCAGACTTTCTTGGTGCTCAGTGTATCTTTGGACTGTAAGATACACTCAGTTTTCAGGCAGTTTTTTGCTGAATAAAGAGTGCATTTTATGCTCCTGAAAATATTGTAAATATGTTTGATGGTTTTAGCCATGCCTGGAAGGAGACACACCTCTAGAGGCAAGATTTGAATGTCCAATCTGCTTGCAATGTCTCTCAGAACCTGTCCTGACACCTTGTGGACACCGTTTCTGTAACAGCTGTATCTGCGCATGGTTAAAGTAAGATACACTTCCCAGTAACACTATCACGTCACTCAGTACCATGTTTTCTAGTTGTAATCAGCTGTGATAATCTCTTGTAGACGTGAGGGTGGTGTGTGCCCTGTTGACAACCAGCCACTCAACTCTGACAAGGACCTCTTTCCTGACAACTTCACCCGCAGAGAGATTCAGGAGCTCGATGTAAAGAACCATCAGGTTAGTTGGGTTTAGCACATAAGAGAAATGTTTTCTTACAATAAGTTCTATAGAGTATTTGAAAAATATATAGCAGAACTGTTCACTTTTTAGTATCTACATGTATGGCCTCTCCTGTGTATGACATCTGGTCACCACTGTTAATACATTAGAGAAAAACCTTCATGTAAGGTTTTATTTCTTTGAGAGCCTTGGCTTTCGTCATCAAACTGAGGAAAGTTGTAAATGGAGGTAATTTAGTATTGAAGTTATTGGCTTGGGATCACTGAAATCAAATGTTGAAATGGGGGAAAACTTATAAAAAAGAACATTTAATGGTTGTTCCACCACATGTGCATTTATGCAGAATAGTTTGATACATTTGTCATTCTGCCCTGCGGTGTTATTTATTTTACTTTGCTGAGGCCCCAGAATGAAGTCCTGTGGATCAGTCACCTCCACAGCTCCCTTGAGGTTTACACTTTACCTTTGATAGTGAAAAGTACTTGTTCTAGTAGACAGACCAGAGGGGCCAGGAGGGAGGATACAGCAGTAGGCAGAAAAGGCAAAGCCTTGTGTTTGCCATCAACTCCAACATTCGTGGAATGTCTTTCAATGGTCACAGTACATTTTTGTTATATTGATTCTTTAGTTATTTGTTGACACTTCTTCACTCGTGTACATTTGTAGTGTAATATTTGTGCGTAACTAATTGGAATGTATGGGTCACAGCCTGTTCTAAGGATCTGTAACAGAATTTGTATGTTGAGACTGAGGGAACGTGAAAAATCTCAGTCAGAATAGTCAGGCTCTTGCACTAAGTTTCAAACCTGGGGTGTTCCATGTATGAAGCAGTTCCTTGAAGAGAACCTTTTTTTCTGTATTGTGCACCTCATTATCTCCAGAAAACCTTAACAATTACACACACACATGGACCAGAGTGATGTTAAATTCATAGACTAGATGGTTACCTGCTGTTTGAATCCACAGGGAGGAATAGAGTCGGGGACGCAGGTGGTGGAGTGCAGTTTTCGAGAAGTTGGCTGTCTAGCAGCAGTGCACCCAGATGAGCTGGCAGCACACCTGGACACTCAAATACACTACCACACCAGTGTAAGTATAGCCCCAAAGTTTCACACTGTCTCAGTGTTTGTAGTTGTTGACTTATAAACAGTATTTTCTGCCGGTCATGGTAGCCGAGCGATCTAAGGCATGCACTGTCTTCGCTCGCTCGGAAGCTGGGATCGTGGGTTCGAATCCCACTGAGGGCATGGATGTTTGTGTGCGTTTTTCTGTGTTTGTCTACAGGTAGAGGCCTTGCGATGAGCTGATCACTCGCCTAAGGAGTCCTACCATATGTGTAAGATCTAGAAAAACCAAAGTGAACGGAGTTCATGGAGGTAGGCCTAGGCCCACTGGGGCTGTAGTGCCAAGGAATAAAAAAGCAGTATTTTCTACAGAGTTTGGAGGAATAGTTGTGGTCTGTCTCGATACATTTCACATTAATTAATTAATTCATTCACTCATTTTATTTAGCATTCATAATTGCTTCAACAGAAACACTTGATCAAGTCACATCATTAAATACATCATTCTTGAAATCCTTTTGCCCAAATGTCTAAAGATTTAGAATTTGTCAATAATAAAATTACTCTTGATATGATTAAACTTACAATTAAAATATAACACACACTATCAAAACCAGATAAATAATCAAATTAGATACAATACATAAATCAAAATGCAAGTTGATTTAAAAAAATGCCTATCATACTAGTTTTATTAACTTTGTGAGTTTGTTGAGAGAATTTTAGGAGTATGGCAGTAAATCAAAAGTCCCTATATGACCATGTCAATCACCGATCACATTAATGTACTAAAAGCAATCATTTGTTATCTATTTACAATGCTGAATAGAGGTTTACTATGCTTACTACTGTCCCTCTAAAAGAAACTCATACAATGTATAGAACAGATGATCTAGTAAAAATACTTTTTGCTTATGTTGAAAGTCTAAAAACCATCTGATTTTCTAAATTCCAAAGGCAGTGTGTTATACATTTTAATACCCATATTGATAACACTTTTCTTAAAAGTTGATGCGTTACAATTTGGCACATGAAAATCATCTTTTCTTCTGGTATTATATTCATATAAACCTGAATTTCATGTAGAGTATAAATTATATTTCTGAAAATGGCACAACACCTCAAAACTATATACAAGACGGTAACAGCTAAAATATTTAATTCTTTAAAAATAGGTCTTCATGATGTGCTGCTATTTACACCTTTCATTAAACAAAGCATCCTTTTTTTTATTTTCAGTATTTTCTTATTTTCACTTTCTCCACCCCAGAAAATCAAACCATAACTTACTAAAGACTGAAATTTGACAAAGTGAATGTTCCTGAGTATATAGAAACTCACTTCATCTTTCAGAGATTTAATAATATAACATGCCTTATTCAGTTTTAGACACAAGGACTGAATGTGTGAACTCCATTTGAAATTATTTGTTATATTGATACCTAAAAATCTGAACTGTGATAAGCTGATTATTTTTTGAAAACCAAGATTCTAGCTGGATCATCACTCTTTTTATTTTTCTTAGAGAGTAATTTTATTCTTATCTGTTGCCAATATATTGGTATCATCTGCAAAAATAACCACTTTTCCATTGATATGTGATGGGGTAAATCATTTATATATAATAAAAACAGGAGTGGGCCCAAAATAGACCCTTGAGGTATTCCAAGTTTAATATTCCTCAGTGTAGAATTGTACCTGTTCATGGAATATTTATGTTGTTAGAAGTTATTTCTACATACTGTGAATGCAGTGTGAAGATTTTAACCAAACATTAATTTTCCCTCTTATTCCATAATGAGTCAATTTTTCAGGAAATATATCATGATCAATAACATCATATGCTTTTGTGAGATCAAAGGATATACCAACTGCAAATGACCGCCTGTCCAATGCTTCCTGAGCATTTTCAATAAAAGGCTGATATGCAGATATGGTCGACTTATTTTTCTGAAACCCATATTGATTTTCCATTATAATCTGTCAGTTTTTACACATGGAAAAGCATTTTACATATGATGCTACATTCAAAAGAAAAGTTGTTTTTTTTTGCTGAAAAGATAGGTAATCATGCAGGTGGTAGAAAGTACACAATAAGTCAGGCATGTGTATGTCATTAGCAAAGTTTTCATGCCTGACAAATAGAAAGTCTTTTTTGGGACCAAGGAAAAGGAGAAATCCCGAGATTGATGCCTCAGTTTTAGTGGATTTCAGAGATTTATGAAATAAAGGATTACCTGCAATTAGGGAAGCCTTAATGTCAAAAGCAAGAGAGTGTACTAGAAACAGTAATATACCTTTCAAGTCGTGGATGGTGTTGAAAAGTTTATGAAGAGAGAAAACTTATCATTATGATAAAGGGCGAAAATTAGTCAAAAACTTCCTTCAGAATTTTTAAAGTGCTGTTTGTCTGGCATTCTTTGGGGTAACAGTGAAAAAATGATGAGGGTGCATCATTTTCAGAAAATGAAAGTGCAACTGAAAGTTCATTGGGTGAACTTTCAGATTACATAGAAAAAATAGAAAGGAATATGCATGTAGTGAAATTTTTAAATTTCCATTTTATTCTCTTGTATTTTCCATTACTCTTCACTTTAAATGTGTTGTAGATATTCTGTTATTTTAATTGATGTGTTCCAAATAAATCAATTGAAATAAATACACCTTTCTAATTTTTTTCCTAAAATCCTCATTTAAAAATTGGATATGTCTTAAATTTTAGGGTGTATTATGTTCGGAGTAATACAGTATCTGACTGAATATTTATCAGATGGAAACAGTTTTCAAATGTAAGTTGTATAAAAAATTAACCACATTATGTGTTCAATACATGCTTTCCCCAATTCTTGCAGTTTTCAAGAAAATTTAACAAAAGTGGTATCACGAGTATATTCTCGAACTTCCATGTGTAGCAGTTAACCATGGTACAGTCACTGTTACGAAAGTAAAGTAATGAAACTCAGTATGGACTTCAAACTGCATCAAAATCAAATTTGTTCTCTTCTTTTAATGTAGTGCTATATTACAGTATATCTTTGAAGCATATATTAAATAGCTTATATACAGTGGAATTCCTGTTAATGTTTCTTCATTTTAATGCATTTAACTTTGAATTTTGATGTTCCAAAGTCAATAATCTGGATTAAGTTTCTTCCATTTCAGATTTTTCTCAATTAAGTGTTTAGATCCAGTGATGCCAAATAAATCTGAAAAGGGCTTTTGCTATACATTTAATTTTTGTGTAGTATTTGTAATAATACCCAACATTGAAGTCTTGACAGTGGTTGTTTATTTATTCTGTATATAGTAGTTCTGACTTCTCACCAGTTTCAGTATCATCACCTAACAGTGAATACAGTATATGTTACTTAGTGTGATCACTCTGGAACACAGCTTAATTGGCAACAATAACTGATGAAACAGGAATGTATCTGTACAGCATTGTTTATTGTTGCAAAGCAGAAATATGTATGTAAAATGGTGGAAGTGGACAGAAAGAAAACTTCCAAATCATGAACTATAAAATACTTCAAGTTAACTGTCCACTGTATCTTCAAGAAAGTCATCAATAAAAACAAAACTGTCATAATGTTTTTGGAAATTCATACACCATTAAAATCGAATAAAGATAATATTAAAATCGAGGATTAGAAAATTTCTTTTAAAATTCATTGTCTATTGTCTTCTCTGAGAAGGTCATTAAAAAACATATTCACATCAGAGTTCAGGAACAAACAGGGATGTTACTTAATTCCACCCTGCATGCATCAAGGCCCTAATAAGGCAAAAATGTGATAATAGGAGCCAATGTGCTGATCATAATGAACATTGTTTTTTATGTGAGTATACATCTGATTGGGACTATACGAGGGGCAGTCAAAAAGTTCCCAGAATGGGGGTATTGCAATATAATAATAGGACATGCAGCAACATGTACCTAATCACCTTCAAAGTAGGACCCTTGCACACGCCCTCTCCCCTTCTCTGATGTCTTCCATGGTTGCGAAACATCTCCCCCTAATTCCCATATTCATAGTAGGGAACAGCCAAAAGTCACCCAGAGTGAGATCCCGAAGGTACAGTGGTTGGGTGAAGACAGTAATGTTTTTCTCAGTGAGGAATTGCTGCACAGCGAGTGACGTGTGGCTTAGTGTGTTTCATGATACAGAAACCACTGTCCCTGCCACTTGTTGCGTCACTTCCTCTAAACTGCACTGTGCAACCTCTGCAAAAGTTGCACATAGAAATGATCAGTGAGAGAGACCAACTTCTTGCTCCAACTCCGCGATGGTTGTTCTTTGATCAGATTGAATCGGTTGTAACACATTTTCAATAATTTCTTCGGTTCTGGATGTCGAAGGCTTCCCGCTGCCCTGGTCTTCCTCCAGCATCTCCTGTCCATTCTTAAACTGGGAAAACCAGTCATAAACTGCATATTTCTTTAGTGCAGTATCACCATAAACTTGCTGCAGGGCCAGTAGCATCTCCGAAGCAGATTTTCCCAATTTGCACATGAACTTGATGTTCACACATTGTTCAAACTGCAACATTGTGCCAAATGACGAACACTCGTGTCTAACTCACATGGAACAGTAATGACACTGCATGCCAAAACCTGTCCTGACGGACATGCAAGCAGACATGCTGAGCTCCCCACAACAACAATGCATGCACTATCTTGTCTTCTCATTCTGCAAGGGAATTCCAGGAACTTTTTGACTGCACATTGTATAAGAATGATGACATTATCCATAATTGGAATAAGCAGCCACTTTAGTTGCATGTGAATTTAATGTTTTTTATTATGAAGGAACAGTTCGTCATAGTCCTAAATATTCTATTCACGATTCCATCTGCGTCAAGTGCCTGCTAAGTGTACACTGGACTCTGTATGATATTGTTTTTCTAAGAGAGGATAATAGGTGAAGTATGACATTGACATTTTGTTTTTAACTTGACTCATCTTTATTTTTACATAGATGTTCACTCTATGTGTTACTTTTCAGTAAAAAGTAGTATTTTTATTCTCTTTCTAATTATGTACATAGTGATTTAAATATAATGTGGAAGATGGTGGCCACCACAAAATTTGTATCTCTTTGTTGATCCATCTACAGTAAAGACTGACCAGCCGTCACACATATCTTTTTGTGATTGCTGCACAATTCACTAGGAACAGAAAGTTTGTCTAAGCATACTGTTTGCAACTTGCTAGACACAACAAAACAAAGCACAAGAGCAGGATGCTTTTACTATTCACAATCAAGGATTGCCATTATTAATTCAGTCAACAATTACTTGTATCTGGTATATTTTCATTACTGCCATCAACATAATGTTTTATCAATAAAGAAGGGGCAGGAAAATAAAGTAGAGTTACTTTTGTTAGTTCCCGCTCAGTTCCGCTACAGCCTCATAATGCTTTGCCGCAAAGTGCCATTCACTTTCATATCAGTTATTCATGTGTCAAGCTTCTCCAACCAAGCTACATGTTGAACCCATCAAAGACTCCTTGATTTGAACAGGAAATGAATGTCCCACAAAAAGACACATTTAAGTGATTAGTCTACTGTGCCACGTAATTGACAGGTCCTGGCTTTGAATCTCAATGTGGAGACCATCCGTCTTGAGGTCTTCCATGATTACCCTAGGTCCCTCCAGGCAAATTCTGGGATACTATTTAAAATAGCCCAGGGCCACTTCTATGCCTTTTAAAATTCTTTGCTCACATTGAACTATGCACTTGGAAAGCCATTGTTAATTAAACAAGAAATATTTCTACTTGTTGTAGCATTTTTTCCATTTTATATAGGTTGGTGGACAGGCAGTTGACTTTCAGTGCTAATAATGCTTCTAAAATAGTGAACAGTCTAAAAGGGAGAGAAAGGAGAAATATTGAATTGTACTTAGTTGCATAGTTGTGCTTATTGCCAACTTTGGTGTGTACAAGGTTTTGTTGTCTTGCAGCTGCTGAGTACAGCATACAGCAAGTTGCAGGTCTGTGTGCAGGGGCAGAAGATGGATGCAAAGGCACAAGAAGCAAGCAACCTCTGGGAGCCTGACAGCAAGGCACAGGTGCATCAGAATGGGGCAAGTACCTATGTACTGTGACAAGGGCTCGGCAGATTCCAGGTGCCAGGTCACTGTGGTGCCTAAAGTTTACATTTTTGTGCCAGTAGGTTTCTGCAATATTGTTTTAAAGTTCTCCTGTTTGAATGCATGAGAAGTTCTAAATTTCATGTCTTATAGTCCTGATTCCATCATGGAAGTTCACCCGTAAAACTGGACGCTGGACCGCTATGTTATCAGTGTGGATCATCGTGTTTAGCCATACTAAAAGTAAAGCTATCCCTGTAACAGGCCGTGATGGCCCATAGGGTTGTGAGACGTTGAGGGTCCACATTATCAAGACAGTCGGCTCAAAGATGGCGGTAAGGTTGTCAGCCTTACGCGCCGCACTTTACTCCCCAGGAAAATTATTTAATTAATTCCTGGTACTCATTTCTGTTAGAGGCTGAATCAACCCCAGGGCCATAGTGCGGCCGGAGGGATTAGGTCAATTGCAAAAAATCCAGTGACCTCATTGGGACTGGAACTCGTGACCTTCTGGCTTGTAGCATAGTGCTTCAACGAACTATGCTACTGCGTGCCCCATTTAGCCATACTAGTATTTGAAATGAATTGTCATCCCTTTCTTACTCATGTGATTACCATATAAGTATGTTTATTATTTCTCATGTTGTTTGAATTCCAACATGTTTTGGTCTCATGAGACCATCCTCAGGGAGTGTGTATATTAACAGGAAACTACAATTCACTGAACATGTCAGAGTACTAATGACACAAGAAATGAACCAGATATACTTAAATGGAGATTTACATCCGACTGTAATATGCATAGTATATCCGAAAATCAAGTATGTAATCCCTTTATGCAGGCATCCTCTCCTCTGATGCTGTCTTTGTAGTGAAAGCCTGTTGAATTTTAACATGAGTGATTCTGATGGATTGTGATTTAAAATTGTAGCTGCTCAGAACATATTTTTTGTCACAATGGAACATTTCTGTTTGTATTTTATAGTGCTCACTAAAAGTAAGATATTTCTTCTTGGAGGGGTTTCATCCTGCCTTCTAATTTTTGGAGGTGATACCATAGTATATTTATTAATTTATGGTGATTTTATGACACCCTTAATAGCTCAGACTGTATGATACTGAAAACTGTGATCATGCTCATCTTTCTTTCCAGTATTAGACCCATTCAGACCTGTTATGGATATTATGAAGCAGAACCCCGCCATCATTTCAGAGGTCTTTGCAGATTTCTCTCGTATTTGATTTCTTTAAGATAAAAAGGTAGAAAAGGACAAAGCTTTTGTCACAGGCCATAGAGGCCCATAGGGTTGCGGGACGTCGAGGCCCCCACATTTTCTGAACAGTCGGCTCTCAGATGGCAGTAAGGTTGTCAGCCTTACATGCTAGCCATCCTTTACTCACAGGAAGATTCCTGATACTCATTTCTGTTAGATGCTGAGTTGAACGCAGGGCCATAGTGCGGCTGAAAGGATTAGATAAATTGAAAAAATCCAGTGACCTCATCGTGAATGGAACCTCCAACCTTACAGCTGATAGTGTGGTGCCTCAAGAAACTACACTTCTGCATGTCCCATAGAAATATAACTTACTGTTGTAAGAATAGTAGGACCTACATTCCTTTAACAGACTAGTAATTCAGAGCTGTATGTCAGTTACATTTTCTGGTCCTTTATCATTGTGTTATGGAAGGAGAAAGGATGTTATTTTATGCAAGGTAGTACTGCAGCACACACTGCTGATTAGTACTTTGATCTTTATCATCCAAAAGGGAATACTATTTCCCATTAAATATAATTTAACTGGTGTAGTGGGAACACACTGTTCGTTACATGTCGTTGTTGTTAATATTTTTATATGTCCAAGAATAGAACTCTTATTAACTTTCAGTGTGTAAATGCATTCTTAGTCATTGGAGACTACCACATATATCTTCAGTTTGAATTGTTTACATTTCTGTCTATGGAGCTATTCTTACTTTGTCATTATATGGAGTGTCAGAACGACACCAGATATCTAAAGATTTTTCAGAAAATGTCTTGGCTTGTCAGTCCATTAATAAAATGTATATACCCTTGGCCCCTTATACTATGTTACTGGAAAAATATTATAAGAGTACAGGGTCATTTGGCTTGTGGAAGGTGTGTGGCCTCCCTGTGGAGTTGTCTGGGATTGAGGCATCCCCACTCTCTATATTAGGTTCCTGACCAATTCAAGTGTGATATAGCAGTGTAATAATATTGAACTGCAAGAGGCAAGGAGAATAAAATCTTCAAAACTGAAAGGCCAAGGAGGTCATAAAATAGCTTTTTCATACATTTCAACTGGCTACTGATGGATTTTTTCTCCTCTTGCTTCCATTTTGAAGCATAGGGCTGATTTATCAGTTTCATGATCATTTTACAGATGGTAGGACTCCTTCAGTGGGTGATCAGCTTGTCACAAGGCCACTACCTAAACACAGGACATAAAAAAAAACATGGAATAAATGCATATACATACCAAACATCCATGCCTTGTGAGGGATTTGAAACCGCAATCCCAGCTTCTGAGCACGTGAAGACAGTACACGCCTTAGACCGCTCACCGTGACCACTACTGAAAGATTAGGTTCATTATGTGGTCAGGTTTGTCCACATACCCGATGTGTCCATCATAGTCTTGTAGTATAGCTGGTTGCAGATCATTTCCACAATAATCACAGAAATTTCCCTCTGCTGGAAGACAATGCATGTTTGTTATTTGTCAGCATGTTAAATTCTGTATGTCTTGAAATGCTCTTGCCAAGAAGTCAATTCTAACCCTGGTCTTATTGTTATGCGCTGACAGTGTCACTGCAGTTTATGGTCTTAGTCAAGGTACTAGGTAATGGCTATGTAACAACAATGGAGTAACTGCTGGAAGTGGTGTTTCCTGTGTAGTCTGTGCCCAGGTTCTATGACGAGAACCAGCTGCGGTTATGAGACAGTCTTGAGACAACAGTTAGAAGAGTAGGGTTGGTGTGAGATGGCTGCCAGCCTGCGAGGGTGTGAGCCTGGGAGCAGAGAATCATCCACTGTTGGAGGATGTTACCAAGCAGCGCAGTGGAAACCACGACTGAGAACACTAGTTTTTGTTTGATAGTGATTTGTAAAGTGTAATCATGAGTTGTGAAAGGTCCAATAAATTCAGTTACCAATCCAAACCCTGTCTGTAGTCATTCAGTCACGTGACACTATGATTTCAGTCCTTGCAATCCTCAGTTTTTTTCTCAACCCACTCCCCCCCATGTATTCTTGTACAATGTTGAATTCTCATTACCTGAGGGTGGCTGTAACTATGTTAGCAGGATGTTCAGCAGCCATGGCAGGGACTATTGCGGTCACTGTATGAGCGTATCGTGATGCTGGAGCAGCGGAACCGGGAGCAGGACATCCAACTTGATAACATGAAACGACAGTTGTTTGCAAACATTGATCAAGTTTCACAGGATCTCGCTCTACGTTATTGCAGTGGCACATACTTGTGGACAGTGACTCAGATATCCAGCAAGTTGGAAGCCATGGCAGCCAATCCCACACGCTGCATGTTCTACAGTCCAGGGTTCTACACTGCCCCCAATGGGTACAGGTAGGCCAACATAAAATTAAAAACTTTGACATTCTGATATTCATTATATTCACTTGGCTGGCCTCACCAAAGAATGGCTTGGGAAGGAAGTGAACTGCATGTTGGAGAACACTTGTTACAGTGTTTTAACAATCAGTACCTAAAAGATTTAAAATCTAATTTCTTTATTCTGTAACCATCTATGTGTCAAAGAGATGAAGTCCTCATCCTAAAGGCTGGGCATGTGATAATGTCCTGCGTGGCCAGGACGTGGTGATAAGATGTGTTACAAGCAATAGTGGAATGATGTTTAGCAGGGGAAACTGAAGAAACTTTGGAAACGTGTCTGCTCTAATGCCACTTTGTCCACCATGAATCTCATTTGAAGCCATCGGAGATTTACCCTGAGGCCTTGCTGTGGGAGGCAAGAATCCAACCACCTGAACTCTGATGTGACCACAAAATTCCCAATGAAATGAGTTTTAAATTGACAGTAGTTTGAAACAAGACAGTACTTTATCTCCTTTGATTTTTATACCGTGTATACCCAAAGAGCATGAAATTAATGAGGATGTTGTACGTCAGTATTGTTACATGATTAAGAGACTGTACACGGGGTTTGGATTGGTAATTGGATTTTTTGGACTCATAAAGATCATAACTACAAGTAATTATTGCACTGTCACCAATTTACACTTTACAGTTCACTTGAGCATGCACTAAGCCTTTTCAATCTGCTTTGTTTTCACCGGATCTCACCTAGTAACCTGTTCCCATTCACAGTCTTCACTGGGCTGCTTGGTAACATCTTCCAACAGCCAAGCACATTTTCTGAACTGATCACGCCATCAGTTCAGTAGTATAAATAAACAGTTTATAATATATATTTAATTTATATAAATATATTATTATTATGGTATTATTTTTGGGACCAAATGATTTTAATTTTCTAGATGGGAAACTGTTTTAAACAGGATCTTAAGTGCGGTTCATCATGTGCCTTTTCAGAGTATCATTTTACATGCTAAATTGATTTTGGAAAAACTACAGGTGTATAATGTTGAGGAAAATGTGAGTCGTATGAGAAAGAAATATATTTCCATTTATTTTCTTGATCATTTATAATTGTAATTTTGAACTTGGCCATGTAACTGTTGTGCAGTGAAGCCTCATTTTGAGGTTATTTTTGGGAGCAGTGGATTTGAACACCAGACTTGAGGAAAACCTTAAGTGGAGGAGATTTAACAATGAGATTGTTAACTTGGGGCGACTGTAATTGAAAGCTGAATGAAGGAACTTGAATGGGAATTCTGCCGTACTTCCACATTTCAGCACATAATTGCTAATTAAAAAAATATAATATGAACTGGCCACGATAAGATTTCTACGCAACATGTAATTGTATTTGTCTGGGGAGTCTCACTGACAGTAACAGGCTTGCTTTCATGACATCTTCACCGTATCACTTGTTTCATTCAGTTTCCTTTATTGATTAGGGTCAGGCCATCTCAACATAAAAAGGGCTTCAGCTCTTAGCTGTGTACTGAGTAAAGAAGTTCAGTTCTCACTCTCTCTTTCTCTCTCTCTGCCTTACCTTTTTCAATACACAGCTGACTGAAAAGTACGTGATTTAGTCAAATCATTTTCTAATGTACAAGAAATGTAGTAAAATATTCAGAGCTTTTGCATTGTCAGAACAAGTGTGAGAATAATTTTATGATGTTGAAATGATCATAGATTTGTGTATTTCATCTGTGCAGAAGTAAAAGGGTTATATGAAAATTATTAGCAAGTTACATCTTCTTTCTGTTCATTTGTGCAGGTTCTGTGCACGGATGAACCTGTCTCCAAATGACCGCACACAGGTTGCTCTTCTAATACATCTGATGCGAACAGACCATGATGATAGTTTGGTCTGGCCATTCACTGGACGTATCACTTTCATGCTTGTGAACGCCAAGGACTCGAGCCGACACGTGTGTGACACCATGATGTCACGTCCAGAATTGGCTGCATTCAAGCGTCCACTGCGAGACATGAACCCGCGTGGATTCGGGTACACAGAGTTTGTGTCAGTGCTCGATCTGTCTACCCAGGGGTTTGTGACATCGGATGATAGCATTCTGATCAAACTGCACATTCTTGCTGTGTGATTCAGAATTCATGCGAACATCCCAAATTAATCACGGGTAAGTGTTTGAAGTGCCATGTGCCATGTGAACCATCTTGACTGAATCTTTATCTTGATCCATATACCAGTGCAGTGCCTTTAGATGCCATAGTTTGTCACACATATTGACATTGAACAGGAATTTGATTAAGATCAGAGTTTATATGGGTTACTGAATGCATAAAATACCATGAGCAAGTGCTGTCCTCACATGGTCCCTCATCAAAAGTGCTCATGTTACACAGTGTTGTTCAACCTCTTGAATTTTTGCTGAGCAGCATAAGAAGTGTTGGAGGGATCCTAATTGCTCCATTGTAGCTTGCGACATGAATGGGAGGGAAGGAAGTGTTGACTTATTAAATGCCAAGTTGGAAGTTATAAATCAGTGGCAAAATTGTAGCAGTGGTTCAATCAAAGAAAACCCCCCAAAAAACTGGAAATGGGGACATCAATGTAATTATTTTGGAATGGTTTGCAAGTGTGAGAGCTAGGAATTTTCGAATACATGGACCAGTGATATGCGAACTTGCCTTCAGTTGTGGATGTATAGAAACCAAAGGATATTACAAATGATGATGAACCATGACTATTTTTTGATCCATTACCGAGCATAACTATGTATTTGGAAGGTGAAAAATGTTCTGGTGGAAAACTCTGCATAGAAAGGTTGACAATTTTCCTTTGTGACTGGAGAGATTAAAAAATCTTTGGTTAAGTGGGAAGCCATCAAACGGTTTCTTTTTAAGAACATGGACATAAATAAACTCCCTGCTGACTTGAAATATATCAAGAAAGCCTGGATAACATGTCATGCAGGAATGGCTGAGAGCATTTAATGGAAAGATGAAACAGTAGGAATATAATGTTCTTTTGCTTTTGGGCAAAGTGACCAAGTATCCTTGCATTGAACACTCTAATGTATGGCTTGCATTGTTCTTTTTTCTGACACCACAAGTGTATCTCAACCCATGGACCGAGGAGTTATAAAATGTGTAAAGCTGAACTACTCTAAGCTCCTCATGCAATCTCTGGTAGCCAACATGGAAGACCACATGTTCTGCCACCAACTCGCCAAGTCCATCTCAGTCCTTGATGTTGTAATTTACATGAGTGATTCTCAACCTATGTCAGACTGCAGCCTGGTAAATTCTTTTTTCTATAAGATGGCCTGGTATTCTCAGAGGTGTATATGAATGTTCTTTCTATATCTTTTCATCAACCTAAACACCACTATAGTTATAACAGCAAACTTTATTTCTTGTGATGCGTTACCTGAATGCCCTGACCTCGTCAGCAGTCTCATCAGGATGCTAAGAGACTGGTTCTCACTCTATCATGGTTTCACTCTAAACATGTAATTCAGAATGGTATATGTTCATAAATTTACTAACCATGGGCTTAGAGTGATGCAGAAATAAAAAAAAAAAGCTGGAGTTTTATATGGTATTTCTGGAAACATTCTTTGATGCAGAGTCCTGATTGATAATCAGTCTCCAGAACACTCTCCCTCTCTCTTGTTTCCTTGTTTGTGACAAACAGCATTCTTTTATGACCTCGTTTTTTTTTCCGTATGGGTGACTATTTCTTTTATTAGGCGTGGCGCAGGGTTTTCAGACAGTGTTGATGTGACCAGTCTGTGACACTTGCGCTGATACTTAGATCTGATCGCTAGGTCAGCGGGCGCTGTTGGACTCTCGTACAGGTGGCATGAGCATGTGGATGATAGTCTATCAATGAAGATCTGGAGTCCGATATCACGAACGGCAGACGTAAGTTAGAGGCTCTAACAGATTCACTGTAATGTGTGGAACTCTGTGTTTCACTAATAGTTACTGTATAATAGTTCCAGCTCTCTCTCTAGTGTTAAGTCATTGTGAACAGTGTCGTTGCTTCTCTAGTTCACTTGTGACCTTCCTTAACTTTGCAACACAAATTGCGACTCGTTACCACCTGGCTGTAGACATCCTCAACATTTTGCTTCCTAAACAGCTTTATAATAAACAACTAGTCTATTTACAAATACAGTTTAAAAGAACTCTGTTAAAATCTAGACCCAATTCAGTTTGTGTCCTTTATAATGCCTCTCTTTAAAGGAAGATGAGTGTCTGCCACGTTGTGGTTCCGTTGTTTGATGAACAGGACTCTTAGTGTCGTGCAGTTGTTCGGACCACGCTGTGTTGTTATATTATACTATTGCTAGTGTGACGGACCAGGATGAACCAAGTCAAAAAGATGCCTCTGTAATTTGTTCAGCACTTTATGTCTCCCTAACATATTGGATAGCTTCTGTGTTCTGCCGATCATACGGTTATCTTACGTGATATTCAGCGCAAGTTTGTAAGATGCAGGAATCTTAGCTCAAAGAATATATTTCCATATTCTAGTTAACTCCATCAGTGCCCACTGCTTTTCTTGTGTGCTTATATGATCTCCTTCATGTCTGTGTTTCCCCTCCTATGACTGCTAGGCTCCTCTTCAACAGGAGGTTTCAGCTTTTCAGTTTAGGAGCTCTGACTGAGCAGAGTAGCAGACGAAGACTGAATATTGTCTGTGTTGAATGACTGCTTAATACATAGGATCAGACAGAGGAGAGAACACTAATTTTACTGAATGCGGAGTAATACTATGTGACGCATGTTCGTCCCGCCAAGACTTGCTTGTATAAAATATTTTCAGATTTGTGACGTCTTAACGATATTTATGGAGTTCTGCACGATTCTTGTGTTGTGATGAATTGTGTGGAATTATAAGACGAAACACGAATCTCGATTTACAGCCAGACACACAAAACCAGGAATGATGGTGTTTTCCAGTAATACCTTATGCAGAATAAAAATCCAATGTTAGTTCTTAAGACATTGTACATGGTAGCTAAAGTAAGGTTTGAGTGATTAGTTTTATAATCATATAAAGTCAAAAGTACAGGAATTCCCTTAATTCCCGGGATTTTTGTCCCGGATATGTGAGTGCGAAGAAAATGGAAACGTGAACATAAGTCAGTGAAGAGATATGCATATTGCGATGCCACATTCCCTCGATTCCAAAATGACATCAGTTGTAAGATGCACCCTTAATTTGTAAACGTATATAGTTAGGTTGCCGGTCATGGTAGCCGAGCGGTCTAAGGCATGCACTGTCTTCGCTCGCTCGGAAGCTGGGATCGTGGGTTCGAATCCCACTGAGGGCATGGATGTTTGTGTGCGTTTTTCTGTGTTTGTCTACAGGTAGAGGCCTTGCGACGGGCTGATCACTCACCCAAGGAGTCTTACCGTATGTGTAAGATCTAGAAAAATCGAAGTGAACGGAGTTCATGGAGGTAGGCCTAGGCCCACTGGGGCTGTAGTGCCAAGGAAAAAAAAAAATATATAGGTTAGCCGTCACCACAGCAGAGCAATTAATCAGTCAGTATTTTACAATAGAATATTTATTTCCTGCTGCGTGATTCGGTTTCATATGACCATCATCAGGCAGCGGTATAAGAATATGTCTAGGGTCACTGAACAGCTAATATGGATCCATATGTGGTGCACCGTGTCATACTCTATGATAAGAATTGTGCTTCGAGTTAAACATGGAAACTGTTGTAAGGGGTTGTTATGTGTAGTGTATCAGTGAGCACAGATATGACGTTGAACACTGAGCGATCTCTTTCCGTTGCAGAATGTTAGTTATAGACAGTGTCGCATAACTTCAAACAAGGCCCCGCATTCCTAGTCAAATCCTGCACGTAGCTTGTGGTGCGAGGAGTTTTTTAACACTCATTCTTCCACTGGCCGTCTGTCACTTTTCACACCCTCCACCCCCTTGTCCGAAATTTTTCTTCTCTGCATTCAAGGTTACTCTTGGCCTTGTTCGAAGTTATGTGACACTTGCTATAATACTTGGCATTTTCAACTTTCAGGCCCCCTATTACATGCTTTATTACATTGTAGACGTACAGCTAACCCTGTAACAGGTCGTGGGGGTGCATAGGGTTTTCAGATGTGAAGGCTCTCACATTTTCTAGACAATTGGTTCACATATGGCGGTGAGGTTGTCAGCCTTACACGCCTGCTGTCCTTTATCCTTCAGGAAGATTCCTGGTATTCATTTCTGTTAGAGGCTGAGTTGACCCTTAAGCCATAGTGCGTACAGATATTTCTAGCAACACAAATACACAGAAATAGTTTCGGAGTCTTCTTTATTGCTATCCCATGGCTAGTGTTATGGACATGAAGATTTTCCTTGCACTCTAGTCATGTAGTATATTTCATCGATGTTGATTCTTCTGCAAACTGTCGTGAGAGCCTCAAGTCTAATGAGTTTATCATTGATGCCGTGTTTGTCCGTCATCATAGGCTAGCAGGGTGGATGCAGTGAGTCCCAACCATAGCCGCTGTCACACGCACAAGAGTTTTACTTCTCTAATCTTGTGCAGTGTCCAGCAGCTGCAGTGAGGGGCTCTAACATTCTGTGAAGACACGTGGTCTTCTGGGGTCCTGAAATGAAAATATCACTGATTTATAGAACAACTTCAGAGACAGTGATAAGTTTATGGCCAGCATTCCTGTTGTCATCAGGGAAATATTGCCACCCACTGACAGAGACTCTAACCTTGACATCTGTGGGGTGAATGGACACAGACATACCTGCTGTATAAAAAAAGGTAAAACGCAAAGCTATCTCTGTAACAGGCCGTGAAGGCCCATAGGGTTGTGAGAGGTGGAGGCTCCCACATTTTCTGTAGACATTTGGCTCACAGAAGTTTGTCAGCCTTGCACGCTGGCCGCCCTTTACGCCCTAAGAAGATTCCTGGTACTCATTTCTGTTAGATGCTGAGTTGACCCCAGGGCAATAGTGCGGCTGGTAGGATTAGGTAAATGGAAAGGAATCCAACACATCGGGGCTTGAATCCGCGACCTTCCAGCTTGTAGCTTAGTGCCTAAACCAACTATGCTACTGCGTGCCCCAACATACCTACTGTGAATACCATAAGTTCATAACATATTGGCCACTGTCTGAACTGAGCTAAAGCAATTGTGTTTGCACCTCTATGGAGAACATTCTTATTTCAGTAGTGAAATATTGTGCCTGATGAAGACAGTGGCATGCAGAATACGTACTGAATGAATGACGCAGGTAGTAGTTGCCGATTCATGCTGCTGCCGTGTCCGACTTCCTGCATTCCTCACAGCTCTCAAAATTAAGGGGGCCCATACACGTACGAGTCTGGCTGGTGAGTCTGACTTGACATGGGTTCCAATGAGCCAAACTCATCCGTGTGTGGGTTGCCACGCTCATACATGTGTGGTGAAATTAATCCAAGGTTGGCTCCTCGCTGAGCCAGACTCGTACGTGTATGGGCTGCATAAGAGTCTTGTACTGTATAAGGAATACTGTCCTCAGGGATAAGCTTTCTTGGTGGATAGCAATGTTTCGGAAATACCTATTTGCCAAAACACATGGCACCATATTATTATTATTATTATTATTATTATTATTATTAT